GTGCCCTGAAGAACGCCTACCACATAGCGGGGGACTCTGCGCAAGGAGGGGTTGGGAACCCAAGGTTGGGGTTCTGGGTGGTGGGCCCAATGAGGGGGGGAGGGCGGGGTCCTGTGGGGGTGAAATGTTGCGCGGCGAATTCGAGCCTACCCCCTCGCCGCGCCGATCCTCACGCGGAGGGTAAAACCCTGTGGGACAAAACCCCTCCGCGGTCGGCTGTCTTCAGAGTGGACCCCCCCCTCCCCAGCCTCCCCTGTTCGTTTTTCGCACCCCCCCCCCCGCTCCCCATCGGTGACTCGCGAAGGACACGGACACTCGGGGTGGGGGGGGAGGGGTCCCCCAGAGAGGGGGCTTTGGGGCCTTGTTGAGTCAATCTCCCCCCCAGAGGGGCCTCGTTGGGTCGATCTCTGGCCGATCTCGTGTCAATCTCGTGTCGATCTCGTGTCGATCTCGGGTCGATCTCGGGTCGATCTCGGGTCAATCTCGGGTCAATCTCGGGTCGATCTCGGGTCGATCTCGGTTCGATCCCGGGTCCATCTCGGGTCGATCTCGGGTCACGTCGTGCGGCGTAATGAGGCGAGATGAGGTGAGATGAGGCGAGATGAGGCGAGATGAGGCGAGATGAGGCGAGATGAGGCGAGATGAGGCGAGGCGAGGCGAGATTAGACGAGATGGGGCGAGATAGGCGAGATGGAGCGGGATATCGCGAGGTGCAGCCAGCTCCTGCCTGGATGGAGTCAGGATAATGCCTGGGAAGATTCTGATTGGTGCCTGAAGGGGGCTAGGTATGCCTGGAAGGAGCCAGGTTGATGCCTTGAGGCCTTGAGGGAGTCGGCTTGAGGCCTTGAGGGATCCATATCTGGATCCCTCACGGCCTCAAGCCGACTCTCTGGTTCTTCTGGTTCCTCTCGGCGACGCCCAATGCGTGCGCCGGCGTGGGGAGTGTGCGTGCGCGCGCGTGTGTGAGATGAGGATTGTGGCAGGCTGGCTGCTGCTGATGTGGGCAAGTGTGCTCTGTGTGCGGCGCTGCGCTGGCGTGCGATGCGCGCGTGCTGTGCGCGTGTGCGTGTTGGAATCGCGCGTGCGTCTGCGTGTGCTGCGCGCGCGCCGGCGTGTGCTGTGCGCTGTGCTCTGTTGTGCGCCTGTTTGTGCAGCTGGGAGGCGCAGCTTTGGCTGGCAGGGCTGCGCGGTGGGCTGCGGCGTGCTGCGGGTGGTCGCGCGCCTGCCTGATGGTGTACGGCGGCCGCGCAGCCCGCCCGACCGGGTCGTCGGCGGCCCAGGGCGCGAGCATGCGGTCGGCGCTGCATGTGAGGCTGCTGCGCGGCTGGCGCGTATGTTTCCGTGTGGTGAGGGACGCGCGTATGTGTTCACGCTGCGGGCGCGGGCGGGCGCGGGGGGCGGCGCGGTCTCACCGCGGTCCGACGTCGGTTGGTCTTCGGCGTGGCGAGGGCGGGCGCGCAGAGAGGCCTTGCCGCCATCGCGTTGCCGCGAAGGAAAAAGAATTACCAATCAATACGGTGATTTTGAACTCTCTAGATTGACCAGCTCACACTGATGAGCGGAACGAGACAGGCAAGAGAGCTCACACGCCATGTCACACGCGTCACGGGGAGGGGAGGGGTTGCTTGCGCTTGGCTTCCAGCAGTTCGCTCCGCTGCTGGTCAAGCCGCATATCGGCCAGCGACGGGCGCGTGTTTGTGCTCCGCCCAGCTCGTCGGTTCTGGGAGGCCGACACCTTGATCGGATTGCGGATCCGCTCCTGTCGCTCGCGCTTCTTGCGCCCTTCTGCGAGCAGCCCCTCCATGCACGCGTTCAGGTCCTCGCGCTCGGCGAGAAGCTCGGTGAACTCGTCGATCCCGATCTCGCCGCCTCGGGCCTCGAAGTTGCTTCGCAGCTCCTCCGCCTGCGAGGGATCGAATCCTGCGCGCAGGGCCGCCTGGAGCATCTCTCCAAAGTCGATGCTGCCAGAGCTGTCGTTGTCAATGAGCCCGAAGACTTGGGCAATCTCGGCACGGCGGGCGACGGCCTCGTGGCGCCGCGCACGCCGCGCGAGCCCATCCTCGTGCTCGCGCACGGTTGCGAGGAGATCAAGATGTTGCGCGCGGGACAGCTTTGGGTAGTGCAGCGCCAGCACCTCCTCAAAGTTGTGGAACGCTGCGTGGCCCGAGACGAAGAAGGTGTTGCGCTTGGCGAGCGCGCGCTGGTGGATGACGTACAGCTCGAGGACCTGCCTTCGTCGGGCCCAGGCACCCCGCTGTGTTAGTGGCTGCCGGCTCGAGCTCTTCCGCTGCTGCCTAGGCGCCGGTGGCGAGTGCGGCCTCTCACCTCGCGCATGACCCGGCTCGTTCCTTGTGGATGGCAAAAAGTTTGGCAGCGAGATCGAGCCGCGCAACTTGCGCTCCTGAGCGTCCAGTAGCCGAAGAAGCGCAACATCTGCATTCACCTCGCGGGCCGGCCTTCTTTCCTCGGGATCGGCGCGTCGGTAGTGGGCGGCGCTCTGTGCTCGGGCCCCGGCCCTCACCATTACGGGAGAGCGATGCGCCGGCGCGGAGGCGGCGGGACGGTCGTCTCGGCGTGAAGGCCTGGGTGCGAGTAGTGCGGACGCGTCCCCGACCTGCCTGCGGTAAGGCCAGGATCCCCGTACGGCAGGCTCCTCGGCGGCACGACCCCTCACGCCCTTCGGCAGTGGCGGGCGGTGGCACGCGGATGTCTTCTCAGGAGCAAAGTTGTGCCTAGCTGCGTCACAGCGTTGTTGCTCGAGCCTCAAATATGCTGCTACCTCGAGTTTCACATCTGCTTGGACGTCTCGGATACGCTGCAACTGCATGACGGCTCCTTCTAAACAGCCCTCCGCTGGCCCAGCTCGCCCTCGAACACAGATGGGCGGCGTGTAACCGCCAGGATCACGATATCGACCTCGACCCGTGATGGAAGTTTTAGATCAAGCACCTTCTCCCTCAAGCCCATTCTTTTGGTGTGTTTGTGGTGATGGCCTGTTCGACTGTGTCATCTCTGCGGCCTACCTACCTCCTGACTGTTGGTGCAGGTGAACCTTCTTTTCTACTCGAGTACCGGGCAGGATTGAGAGCAGCCTCGCTAGATAGAAGTCGAAGGATTGTTAGCAGCACTCCTCGCCATCGTAGCATCTCTGTTGCATCTCATAGTTGCATTCCAAGGTTGCGCCAACTTTGCGTGTCAGCCAATGAGGAGGAACCGAGACCAAGGATTAGATGCTCGAGACGCCCCCGAGCGTCTTGCCGCATGGGGCCGGCTTCGGCCGAACGCAGCCCAACATCGCTCCCGCCTTTAGCCGGCCGCCTCCGCCGGCCCCCAGCCATCGTGGCCAGCCCTTCCACCTCCCTGGCCAGTCCTTCTTCCGGCCGATGGCACGGCCGCCTGCCCCACGCCGCATCAGCGGCCACTTACGAGGATGATAATGCAACATCGTGTACCTGCCATTGCCTGCCGCCACGCTGGTGGCACAGGCTGCGGGGCACCGCCTGCTCCGCTGAGCTGGGCATATTACCAGCCAGCACCCACAGTCTCTGACAGTGTGTGCGGATGTGTGGCTCTTTTGTGTGTGTGTTTATATGATTTTTTCTTATGGCTGGTGGCGCCTGTATCGGTGCAGCGTTGGACCTACTCGGGGCGTTATCGCACGGTCGCCTTCTGGGGTTGTCAACCTTGTCATCTTCGGCGCGCTCGCCAGCGCGCGCGGGCGCGCGCCCCCCGCCGAGCGAGCGGCGAGCGGGGCGCGCTGTGCGTGACGCGAGATGTTGAGTTCAGATCGCTGCCCTTACCCACGCTCCTCTTCTCGCTTTTGAGTTCGGGCTGTGTGGGCCGCGCTTTCTAGCCGGGGGGGTGGCGCGTGGGCTGAAGGCGAATATACGAGGAGAGTCCAAGTAATACCGTGTCACCGTCGTGGCGCGCGCGGGTTTGAGCACAAGTTCGGCGGGCGCGTGCGAGCATGAGACGTCCACAGTCCCGTCTCGCCATCACCCCGCCCACAGAAGGGAAGAGCGGCAATCACTGCCGCACTCCCACTCGCTGGCCGCACATGCCCATGCCCTAGCCGGTGCCAGAGAAGGGCGGCGGCGGCGGCGGCGGTGAGCGCGCGCGGCTGGCCGAGGAGGTCTTGGGCGGCGAGACGCCAAAGACGTGCGGCGCGTGCCTGCAGAGGAGCCTTGCGGACGCCTCCGTCCACGGCGCGGGTCTCGACGCCACCGGCTGCGTGAGCACCTGCAGCCCGCCCACCGTCCGGAAGATGGACGAGCAGCGTGAGGAAACGTCGAGAATCTCGTGACCGCTGGGTGGCTGGAGTTCGAAGGGGACGCCACCCGCGCTTCCCTGGCCGGAGTAGCGCACCGACCGGCCGTGCGACGTGTCGAAGCGGACGGCGGTCAGCAGCTCGCCGGCCTCGCCACTCACCCTCGTGAGGAATTCACCGGGAGAGAGGCAGAGCGGCTCGCGCCACGTTCCAGATGCGACGCCACCGTGCGTTCGTTTGGTGCCGTCAGAGAAAAGGAAGGCGATGCAGCTCACGTGCTGGGCCGTCTTGACGTGCACCGCTGTGAGCCGCACCGTGTCGCAGAGCCGCTGGAAGTCGGAGCGGGCCTCGCTGGCGATGACATCGAGAACCTCGTAGGGCAGCGCTGGAGCCGCCGGCGCGAGAGCCTGCGCCTGGGCCTGCGAGAGCGCGTCCAGCGGATCCGCGCTGCCCGAGGTTCCGGGGCTCCTATACGCCATTTTCTGCAAGGAGGCGCCAACAGGGGAAAAATATGTGCGTGCCCGCGAGCAGGGAAGAGGACCGCCGCAAGCGGCGTGGCGTGGGGCGGTTGAGCGTCCCTCCGGGGGCCCCTCTGCGCCGGGGAGGCGTTGTTGGAGGCTAGGACGCAAGCGTCCGTCGCCTTTTTCAAACTCGGGTCCCACTCCGCTACGCTCCGACCCGAATTTGGGGGGCCATGAAGTTTAAGGTGTTGCTGCGCAAAAGGGGTGGCGCGCGGGCGGGCGGCGCGGCGGCGCCGAAAAGAAGCACTCACTAGTCACAAGAGGTAAGTGAAGTCATAATGTTAATGGGACACCAATCCTCACTCCTCACACTCCATGCACTGTAGAGAGGAATGAGCGGCCACGTAGGCACCACAGCTGGTACTGGCGCGTTGAGCACGGCTCGCGCGATGCGGTCCACTCGTGACTCTCCGTTCGGATCGAAGCTCGGCAAGATCACGTGCTGATGCAGCTCAGAGATGCGCTCACTGGCATGTTGACGAGAAGAGCGTTCTCCAGAGCATTGCATCCACTTTGCGTATGTAATCCCTTGCTCCGTCTCGCCGCCTGGCACTGGTCGAAAGCCAAGTACGGTCATGGTTGCGCGCCCGAGCTGCCAATGATCACAGCAGTATCCCGGCGCAGCAAAGGCCCAGGAGGGCTGGTCGGTGGTAGCAGAGCGCATCTCAAGCCCGCAGCAGCGGGTGGGGCCATACCTAGGTTGCCAGGAAGTGGAGGGCCGCAGAGGGTTCCGCCGCGCCATCTCTTCCTGCAGGGATCGCTCGGCGTCCCTCCACTTCGATGGCGGCCCCTCTGCGGCCCGACGGCAGCAATCGTGGACGTAGTTATCATAGGTGAGGTGCGAGGATAGCCATCTCGGGATGGTAGTGGTGCTTGCACAGTGCGCCTTGCCGCTGGTTGAGGTCGACGAGCGCCTTGAGAATGTGGTGTTTGGTCCGCCCGTCATTCGTGCAGAGGTACGGCAACGCAAAGTTTGGTGGTAGCACACACGTGTCGCAGCCGCCCAGGGGCCGGTGCCCAATCCACTGGTTTCGCTGCGGGCACCACCACGGCGTTTCGATGCTGTGTCGGCTGTTGAAAAGATAATGGTTCCAGAAGTTCGAACTTGATCCACCCGTCGAAAAGAATGCCTCACCCCATCGGCCGTTCCAGCCATGCCAGTTGGCACACTGTCGCTCGAGGGGCATGCCACCGACGAGGTTGAGCTCGTTGCCGAGGTACTGTGCCCGCTCTTTGTCGAATCGCCGCTCGCCGAGGCCTGCCAGCTGCATGTGGGAAATGAGGGCCAGATTGCACTCGACGTGTCGCGAGTCAGGCTCCTTTGCAAAGCCAGGTGGGGCGTAGAAGACGGAACGCCACCACAGCCGGCGCCCGTGCATTTGCAACCGTGACTCCATGATGGCGAGCACGCGCCGAATCAGCAACCACGGAGGAAGTAGCCCCTCACTCCCTCGTCCACCCATACCCTCTAGCCGCCAATCTGCAAAGATTGAATTGGGTTCGAGAGTTTGATCGCAGGTCAATGCCTTTGTGTCATCCCACCGCGAGCGAAGCCAGTTCCATTCTCGAGAGAGTCCGCTTGCATCATCCTCTGCTGACAACTGCACCTGAATCTCTAGCCACCTTGACGGGTCGCCCTCGAAGACTTCAGCTGTGAGGTACGCTGGCCAGTCAAGCTTGGGGCCGTTCCACACAGCATAGAAGGGCTCTGCTTTGCCATGCTCGCCGTCCCAATCCTGGCGTGCCGCCTCCGCCTCTGCGTCGTACATGATCCCGCTGGATCTTCCTGACTCAAAGCGGCTCTTGACGTCTTCGAGATGTGGCACAGGTAGGCTGATGGGTGGCAAACGCGGCAATGAAGGCAGAGCTGCTGCGTCCCTTGCATCTGCCTCGCCACGTCCGTCGCACAAGTGCATGAGCCGGCAATCCGATGGGCTCGTGTGAGGCTCGAAAATTGGCTGCTCGCAGTGCGGGCCGTGGCACTGGAAATTGTGCAACCATTCTGGGCTGTCAACAATCATACGTGCACCGTCCTCCCCCGCCAATTTATACGCCACCCCCCAGAGTTGCGGGCACATCTGCAGCTGCTCATGTCGGCGCCGCTCAAAGCCCAACACCATCGGCTTAAAGGGAACGAGCCCATCGGCGCCCACTGCTCCCAACAGAGTTGCCGCCATTGCGCCTGCGCGTGACTCGAGGATCGAAGCCTGCGCCTCTTCGTGGGGCAACAGCGCCGTGGAAGCCGCGTTGGTGGCAGCACGACTAGCAGCAGCTGCATCGCGATAGCTGTCACGGTGGCCTTGGCGATCCGTCTCCTGCTGCTGCGCGCTCTCGCGCCGGGCCTGCGCACGCCTCTCATTCCCGCCTGTCCAGCCGTCCCACTTTTTCTTCATTTTATTGAATGATGTATACTCCTGGTCCCAGGTCGGCTCGCCGGAAATCTGCAGGTACCAGCAGTAGGGCGCCGTGCCGGGCCCTCGCTCTTTGCAGTGGCGCAGGCTGGGGTACGGGTGCTGTGCAGCATTGTCCTTGGTGATGCGCGGCCACGTACGGCCAGTATTGTCGACCAGCACCGGCTCCCCGCTCATGCTCGATGAGAGAGGGGAGTGGCACAAAAAGCCGTCGGTCGTCCCCCCGAACGGACGGATTAGGGACGCATCCTTTCTGCATGCCCGGGCGCCGTGTTGACCGCCGGACGAGAAGTTTGCGTCGCCGAACGAAAATCCCACGATATGCACGAATTTTAATTATATTTTTTTCGTGTGGGGGTATGTCATGTAGTTGCCAATGGTACCGCGTCTGCGACGCGGGCGCCTTGCGGGCAGAGCCCTTAGCCACCCTTATGTCTTGCGCGGTCAAAAACCGCGGCAAGACCGAGGTGGGTTGTTGTCGGCAAATCAAGACACAGAGCTCAGATCAGAATCACAGCGGGAGGAAAGCGGCCGGTGGCGAGTCGCAATTCCTGGGGTCCTCGTGGCGAGGTGCTGCTCACCGACGAACATCTCCGCGATGATGATGATGCAGCCGACCGAGGGCCCAACTTGAGAATCGTGCTTTTTGGGTTGGGTTGGGTTGTTGGCCCGCGTTGGGTTGTTCCGCGTGAGGTTGGGTCGTCGGCGCGAAGGGTGAGGTCTCGACCGCCGCCGCTCACGCCAGCGGACGGCCACCATCGGTGTTTTTGGCTTCGCCACCGTCCAAGGCGTGCGCCATGCGCTCGCCGGCATCGAGCGAGCAACGTGATCGACCGAGCGGCTTGCTGTGTGGACGCCTTCTTCTGGCTCTCGTCGAGAGCGTTTTGCGTCCCGGCGGGTGGGAGAATATGTGTCGTCTGATGTGTCACTGTGTGCGTCACGCCCCCCACAGCAAATCGGTTTTTGCCCTTAACTAGTGCCGTTTTCGTTGGCCCAATTTTCGCTTAACTTGGTCGGTTTGAGCACTATTTCAGCCCAAGGCCCACAGCAAATGGGTGAAAACCTGCCTGCACGAGCGAGTTTTTGGCTTCATCGGTCGTCCCGTGACTGATCGCGCCGCCGCGTTGCACATTGGACACATGCTCTCGCGCGTGGCGCTGACGGGGACTATTGTGCGCCTCGCCGAGGCGCACAATAGTCCTTAGTCTGACAACGGCCAGTTCTGTCATCCTGGTGCTCAAGGAAACGGAAGCGGCGAAAGCCGACGGTCGGTAGGAATGGGGCTCCCGGCCAGATTTGGGCTTGGGAGTGGGCTGCGTCGAGTTTTGGATCTCGACGCGCGTCGAGAATAGTGCGATTTATCGTGGCCCATTTTTCGCTTGACCTCGGTGGGAAATCGCACTATTTAAGGGCAAAAACCGATTTGCTGTGGGGGGCGTCACATCGGTCTTGATAACAAGCACGGTCGATCCGTCGAAGCGATACACTCGTTCCTATCACGCTGGAAGGCTTGCACGGAGCTCTGTGCCGGCACACAGCAGAGCCGTGCGGCAAGAAGAGCTCGATGGGGAGCGAGAACTGCCAGAGGTGCTCACCCAGGTTTCAACCACGTTCGGCAGCGAGCGCGAGGTGGTGGGCAACCCGCGGCGCCGCGAAGAACAAGAACAACGAGGCGCCTCAAGATGCAGCTCGTGCGTCGTCGTCGATCCCAAACTAGCTTAGGGGAGTTAGAGTTGTGAACCATGACGGCTCACGACAAGGTCATCCGTAATAATTGTTCTAATAAGTAGAAGAAATTATCGGCTTTACGGACATCGTGCGGAAGTCCGCCTTGATGCGGTCAGTTCCCCCCAGGTTTGACCGCGCAGCTCGCAAGACTCGTCGAGCACTCGCAGCCTTTCTGTGCCTCTGAGCTCTGACTCTGACAGCGAGCATCGAGCGCCTCCCTCGCGAGCGCCGGATTCCTGTGCGCCCGCGAGCGGCCCAGCCTGCCCCCCCGCTCCCCCCCGACCGACTGAGGCCGCCGGCTGCATGTGACCATCCTCCTGGTCGGCGATCAAGGCTGTCCTTGCGGTGCTTCACCGACGATGACGAGCTCTCGCCAATCATGGGAATCGAGCGCTTAGCCGCACGGCAGATCACGGCCGGTCCAAGCGCGAAGTTTCGCCCGTCGCGTCCGATTAGCTTCACGGACGTTGTCGTGAACACATCGTGGGGGCTCCGTATCTCATCATATCCACGTGTTTCTCCTGGTATCTCCCGGTATCTCCCGGTATCCCGCCATATCCCGCCATATGCCATATCCCGCCGCGGATACCGCGAAAAAAATCGTCCACACCAGGGATGCTTTTTATTCCGCAGAGGCCCCTTATTTGAGAGAGAGATCTCTTCTTATTTGTTCTTCTCTCTACAAGGGAGAGCGAGACTCATCATTTAGAGAATGTGGGAGGGCCGAGCCCGGGACCGCGTGAGCGCTGCAGTCCTGCAGTCACACACACACGCGCGCTTGGGTACGCGCCGGTGGAACTCGTGTTTAATTGAACGAGGCAGGCAGGGGGGTTTGGGCAGCAAGGTGCATCGGGTTCAAATCACACAAAGTCTGGAACGATTTCAACGCACGGGCGCACGGCCCCTCAGCCCAAAACTCCCCCTGACTCCCCCAAGCCTCAACCGGGTTAAAGCACACAGGCAGGCGCCAGACCCTCCCCCACACACACCTCCCGCACGAACAGGTACGAATAGGGACACAGGAACGGCACAGCTCAACGGTCTCTCTTTCGCTACGTGTTCGACGTCGTCGAACAACGTTCGACCATGGCACTGTTCACAGCCTTGTTATTGAGAAGAAAATACCTCCTATGGGCTATGGCGCTGTGCGCTGGCCTGTGAGAGGTTGAGGTGCTCACAGCGCGCGCGGACGGCCGTTCTGCGACTCCCGCTCCGCTGGACTTTTGTAAAGCACGCTTGTGGCAAGTTACAGACGCTAGTATCGACCTCAGGGACCCAAACATGAATTAATAATTAAGGCTCAAAACATAGTCGAACAACCGTCGAACAAACAGGTCGAACAACGAAAAGAGACTAGTGCGACCGCTAGACGGCGGTCTCCGCCGGCCCCAAGGCTGCCCAGCCCCAGTACCACACCGGCCACGTATACCGTGGCGCTGGAGTCGGTCAGTGAGGCACTAGACGGGCTACGGAACCATGCGCGCGCCGGCCGGACAGGCTGCGCGCAGGGGCCGCGCCGCCTCGATTTCGCACCTCCGCTCCGCGGCCGGCTGAGGGGCTAGCTCGCCCGGCGACAAGCCCAGCCATCGCCCAGCGCCCCGTATCGACGGGGGGCACGCAAAAAAACCGCACCTACGACTAGGGTGAGCACGTGAGGGCGTCGGTGTCGGCCGCGGGCACGCTGCGAGGAGGGCGCCGGGGGGAGCATGGGAGATGCACCACCGCTCGACGAAGACGCGCCCGACGAAGCCCTGCTAGCGGAGGATGGTCGATCCTCACCTACTAGTGTCGGGCGTGTGCGAAAAAGAGCGCAAATCGGAGCTCAACTCGCGCGCGGCTGGGAAAGGGGTGTGGCACTTCTCCGAAGGCGCCTCGCGAGGAGCTGCTGCTGCCTCCAAACGCGCTCGGGCAGCACGTCGGCGCGCCTGCGGGGTTGGGGAGGTGAAACTAGGCTTGCTGGCACGCGCATCCCGCACCACCCCCACGTCCGCGCGCACCATGCCGCCATCCCACCTCACAGCCAAGCGCCATCGCCGTCGGACGCGGCGACGCCGAGCGGTGGCCTCGCAGACGACGAGCGCGATGATGCCGCCGCGCCGCCGGGGTGGCCGGCGCGTGCCAGCCGCTGGCCCGTCCAGCGTGGCGGGACCGGCTCGCCCATCCTGGCCGGCGCGCTTGCCGACGCGAGAAGATCGCGCGACAGGGCAAAAAGTGGCAAAATCGCCCTGTTTGCCAACCCTTCACGGCGACTTCACGGCGGAACGAGTCGGATCGACGACTCGCCGCCTGCACCAGCGTGTGCGCCTTGCAATTCTATACAGAATCGATGAAATGAACTCGGGGGCACGGGACGCGGCACAAACGGGGCACAAACGCCAGGCTACAAAGACGGGGTACAGAATCGATACTTGGTACGTCCTCTCAATCGCTCGTGGAGAGGAGCTACGGCCATTCTCCACTTGTGTTCGACGATGTCGAACATTGTTCGACATCGTCGAACACGATCGAGTAACCGTCAACGGCAGAAATCCCACCTGCACACATCCACTCACCTGTCGCACGAACGGGTTCCCAGAGCCGGACGCAGGAACGGCACTGGCCAAAACACACCCACACCTGACGCACGAACAGGTAGGAACCGGACGAAGGAATGGCAGAGACACACACCCAGCCGAGGCAAGTCAGAACTCAGAAGGCCCCGTTGTTCACGCACCCCGCGAAGTTTCCAGGCAGCGCCGACCTGCGCCGAGCTGCCGATGTGCGACCTCATCGAGCCATCCACGACCATGGACGATCTTCCGGAGGAGTGCCTCGTCCACATCGCTTGCCAGCTGCGGTCGGTGCGTGACCTTGGCGCCGCGGCGCAAGCGAGCAAGCTTTTCCGCGACGTCTTCTACTCGGGTGCCGCGACCATCTGTCCGCCCTCACGCCCTCACCTCGCTGAATCGGCGTCACACCCGCCCTGCCTTCCCCGTGCTCACAGACTTTGTGTGGCGCGCCCTGTGCGTCGCCGGAAAACATGGCGCGTCGTTAGACTTCAGCGAGAATGTGCTCGGCTCGTTTTCGCACCCCGACGCGAAGCCGACAGCACGAGGCGCCGCTGCGGGCGTCGAGCGGCAGTCGTCCGCATCTGGACAGCCGTGGCGCGAGGTGTACCGCACCACGAGTGAGTCGCTCTCCTCGACGGTCTGTGTCGACAGCGGGCGCGGATATGCAAAGTGTGGCCTCGCCTCGCCTCGAGCTCTTCTCCACTCGCCGCTCCTCTTGACTCGCACTGCCGCTGCCGCTGCCCCTCTCTCTCTCCCCCTTCACCCCCTCTCTCCCTTCCTCCCTCTCTCCCTTCCTCCCTCTCTCCCTTCCTCCCTCTCTCCCTTCCTCCCTCTCTCCCTTCCTCCCTCTCTCCCTTCCTCCCTCTCTCCCTTCCTCTCTCCCTCCCGCCCTCCCTCCCTCCTCCCCTCCCCCCCTTCCCACCTTATCGCGCCGCCCCCACTCCCGCCTGACCACACGCGCCTCGCAGGTACGGCCTCGCCTCGTCGCGCGCGCCGGCTGTCCTCCAGATCTGCCAGCCAGGCTCTCCCTTCCTCACTGCTTGCTGCCTCTCTCCTCGCTGCCGCCTCCCTCCCTCCTCACTGCCGCCTCTCTCCCCACCTCCCTCCCCCTCTCTCCCTCCTCACCGCCGCCTCTCTCTCCCCGCCTCCCTCCCTCCTCACTGCCGCCTCTCCTCTGCCGCGCCAGGACAAGAGTGCACGCAGGCGTCGCTGCTTGGCACGGCGATGCAGCGGCTCGGCCTCAGGCGCGCCACGCTCCCCGCATACTCCGCCATCGTCTCGGAGCCGTTCAAGTACGCGGGCGACCAGGACCGCGGCTTCAGCGCCCCCGGCCGCCGAGGGCGCGAGGCTTGTCGGGCAGACACCGAGCAGCAGCTGCTGCACGGCTTTGGCGTGCGCAGGCTCGCGCACCCTTCCCCGCCTCTCCTTCTTCCTCGGACCGAGGCTGGGCCCCTCAGCAGGCTCGCCATCGTCGACTCGGCCTCGCTCTGCCTCTTCTCCCACCGGCTCACCTCCGGCGTCGTCGTCAACATCGGGTTCGGTGAGGCCTTCCTCGCGCACATCGGAGGTCCCGCCACCCCTCACCCGT